GAGTCTTGCTATAGGTCCAAAAGAAAAACGACTCCGTTGGGTTGGGCAACAAATTCTTTTGGGCGATGAAAATATTGATTATACAGAGTCACTTTCAGAGAATTTTGATGGGATTGGAACTCAAGATGACCAAACTGATGAAGTTTCTTGTTCCTCTAACTCAAAGAAGAGAAAGAATAAATCGGGTGATACTCTGAGTGAGGAAATAAGGTCAATTAAGGATGGTCTAGATGCAGTTGCAGCAGCACTTGATCGTGGTAACCTTCAGAATTACACAAATAGACAATTATTTGAGAAGATTGCGAAAGTTAGTGGCATGAGTGATGCTTCTCGAATGAAGGTATAGCAAGTTCTTGCTAAAGAAGTGAGTGATGCTCGAGCATACCTAGAATGCCCTATTGAACGCCGAGGTCTTTGGTTGTCTATTAAATTCAGATCTTCAATCTTTATGCATAGTACTATTTTTCTTTCTTTGGTACTTTTTTATTTGAATATTTCAAGGATTTGGTGAACCTATGAAAATATCATTAGGCTTGGATTTTTTGTATGTAGACTCTCTTCGTTGCTTGCTGCACTTGAATGGTAGATTCATGGCATGTATGTGTCCTTGAGATTCTAAATGGTCTCTATTGCTTAATGGCCTCTGTTGCACTTCTTTATGATGATGTGGATGTGAATGCTATGTACTGTTTATCAAGTTCTATTTTAGTGTTGATTTTTTTATTTTATTTTTTTGGTAACGCTTGTGAGATTATTCTAGGGGTGCTTACATGTAGGTCCTAATAAGTGGACTTATTGTCTAATAGGACCTATGAGAAAAATTTGTAATAAAAAAAGTCACTAATTGTAAATTTTAGCGACAATTTATAAAAATCATAACAAAAAAAAGTCACTAATTATCAATTTTTAGCGGCATATAAAAAATTGTCACAAAAAAATTATTTTTAACGACAATTTTACCAAGACTTATTTTCAAGAAGATTTGATGGAAATTAAGTCCAACTATTAGGACCTATTGGTAGTTTACCCATTATTTATTATTTTGATCATCATAATAGAAACAAAACTATTTTTTTGTTTTGGTTTTGGTCTATTTGTATAGGTGTTAGTTGTTCAGTTTGATTCTTAAAATCATAAAATCGATAGACTATATGATTTGGTTTTCAAAAACTTGTTTTCAACTTTTTTATCTAAAATATTAATTAGGTGAAGGAAATAAAAAATACTTATCATTTTAATACAATTTTATTTTTTGGGAGCCTATAAATAATTTTTAAAAATTAAAAAAAAAAATTAATTTTTATTTTTATCAAATTAATTTTTTATTTTTTATTTCTAAAAATTAAAACTTTTTTTTTTCCTGAAAAACAAACAGCACTTTGATCATGTGTAGCCTTATTTTTTGTTATTGCAAATCACAACTACAATTCCATGTGTGATGATGGACAATGCGAGAGTTCTTGAGAAATGATTTTTTTTCCTCCTTCAATTCCCAACTCAACCAAATATAATTGGGATTTGAAATCCTATTAATTCTTCCTCTTTTTCTTTTCATTTCTATTTTTTTTTTTAAATTTCCTAACCAAACACGGCATAAAATAAACCTACATTTCTAATCCGTTTTCTGTGTTAGTTTCGTAAATTTTTTATTTTTCGGGGAACATAAAAAGTGATAAAATGTGAAAACTGTTGAAAGAGCTACTTTTTCATGCTGGTCAAGTTTAAGATTATAAAAGTCAAACATAGAATTGAGAATAAATTCTTCTTCCAATTACAAATTGGTTGCTTGGAATCTCCAATAGCAACCCTTCCATTACAAGGTTGATATCATATTCCTAGTCGGTGGGATTAGTATTATGTTCTCTAGTAGCAGTTGAGTTGCACATTGCTTCCATTTATTTGGCTGGAAAAATTAATGAAAATATTAACTTAAAAATAAATTTTTTTAAATAAAAATGATTTTTTATTTTTAAAATGTAAAAAAGATTTTACAAATTAAAGTCTTATACATACCAATCTCGTCACAATATTACTACCACCGCCCTGTTACTGCTACCACCACAAATACAATCAATCACTATTACAATAGTTTTAAAGATAACTAAATGTAGAAAACGTTTTCTACAAAAAAAAGATATTCTAAAAATAATAATTTTGTTATAAATGTTTTGAAGATTTTTCACAGAATAGATCACTGAAGAGATTTCATAAAATAGATCACTGAAGAGATTATCTGTGCTACATACATACCACAAATGTTGCAAGTTATCAGTTTTATTTTCTAATTTTTTTTTTCTGCCATTATTTTGTAATAATTAAGGAAATAGTGAAGGAATATGATATCTTGCCATATGCCTTGTAAATGAGAATTTAAAATAATAAAAGAAAAAGAAAAAAAATAAAAAAAAAAGAAGCTCCATACAATATTAATCCAACATGGCATGATTTTATGACAACATGGGCCTGCCTATGCTTTCCTCCAAACAGACATGAATGTAACAGTTTTAAAAGGAGATTGCTAATAAGGGCTATAAAAGAGTTGAATTTAGTTATTAGTCGTTTGAATTTGGTTCACAAATCTATAGAGTACACAAAACATGTTTAAATTTGATTTATTTATCTTTTAAACCAAACTCGAACAAATTTTACTCAAGTCAAATTTGAATAACTTGATTTTTTATAAAAATTTTTAGTGTTTATAGCCTTGTTTGGGAACAAGCTTTTTAGTAACTTTTTAATTTTTTGGCTAAAATATAATGTAAAAAAAACTAGTTTGTTTGGAATGACTTTTTAATTTTTTACGAAAAGATATCAAAAAAATAGAGAGACAAAAGAATTTTGACTTTTTTGGTATAAGTTGTTAGCTTTTTTATTTTTTTAGTGACTTTTTGACTAAAATCACCCTTTGTCTAACGAGTATATTCAAATTTAGCTTTACTTATATAACAGATAAATCTCAAATAAGCTTTTAACGAACTGAACAAAAATTAAGCTCAAATATTGTATACAACTAAATTTACAATTACAATAATTGTATTCAAAACTATATCTCGGGTTGTAAAATAAACTAAGTCACAAGCTCAACTAGCTAAAAGCATGCTCAAAACCAACTAGTTTAATACACAAGTTAAACTTAAATACATTTTGAAACTCATGAATAGGTTAAAATTAACTCAAAAGTCATAAAACTGTATAAAACTAAACTATTCAAGTTCGGCTTATATTTGGCTTGATTGGAACTTGTTTGCAACCAACTCAAAAGACAAACACATCAAACTTCAACAAAATTTTAAAGTTCGTTAAATTTTTGAACTAACAATTCATGGACTCGGCTCATTTATAACTTCAACTCGGTCTCTCATGAGTTGAGGCTAAAAGTGGATGTAGTTTTGAAAATTTTCAATAGCCATTGACCTACCTAAAATGGGACAATTCTTTGCATTCTCATAACCCATGCTCCTTACTAGATAACTTTATCCATGCTTCTAAGAATGACAAAATGGTGCATACCCAAATTAGAAGTGGACTAGCTCTTTTTGTGGATCCCATTTTCCATGGAATACAAAGAATGGTTCTTATTAGAAAAGACAGTTGAATTGTCTACAACAATTTGGAGGGAGAACCAACGACCAACCTAATCCCATCCCACCACCTACAATTACCCTAAATATTTATCCACAACCTGATCTCATTTCTCTTATCCCCACACCACCAAGTTTGACATGCATATTAAAACTTCAACCCTTTTAACAATGGCAAAATAGCAACCCCCGTCTCCCTCTCTCTCTCTCTCCCTCCATCTGTCTCCCTCTCTCTCTCTCTTTGAGCTCTCTTCTCTCTTAGCATTACCATGACTCTCAACTGCCTAGCGTGCCAGAGCCTGCCGAGGGTAGACTCCGAGCACGAACTTAGCGAGAGATGTGGTGTTGACAAGCACCACTTTGTGATCCGTTGGCCTAAGGTTGACAGAAACTGGTCGGGACACCTTGTGCCTATGCCGTATGAGAAGGGGAGAAATGAATCAGGCATTATGGGAAAGAGGGCCAAGAGCGGGCATCGTCGGGTTCATAATGACGGACCTATGGGGTTTGAGAATAAACCGAGATTGGTGAGGAGCTCTGGGATGAGAAGGGATTGGAGTTTTGAGGATCTGGGACAAAGAAGGGAGATGCAAGAAGTGGAAGGGCACTGAGACTTTGCTATAGTTTTCCTCTCATTGTCACCCCCCCTCTTCTTTTTTGTTTTTTCTCCTTGTATTCTTTGTTTATATGTTTTTTTTTTTCACTTCTTATATTGAGCCAAGAATATCACGGATACATGGGTTGAAGATATGTATTTAGATAATGGTGAGATGTGAAAATTTGTTAATTTTAAATATAAGGCATTATGATTTTTACCCTTATACATAATTTCAAGATCAACCAACAACAATCACAGACATTAAGCTACCAACATTCTTCGTAAAGAACGCTGCGATAACTTCAAGGGCCAAATGTATATGTAAGATAAAAAAGTATTGAATTTAAGATAAATAAATAAATAAATACATTTTACGTGATGGACCAATATAATTATTTGAAAATATTCTTAACTAACACCACTGTAATAAAGAAGATTTTCAAAACTTTGGAGGGAGGTCACCCTTGCTCCTCCCCTCCCCCTGTTCTTGGGTCCATCCATGATTATGAAGTATTTTAGTAGTACTGATTGAAGAAAGGATGAGATATAGGGAACATAAGAGAAAGAGGCAGGTAGAGGTTTTGAGACAAGGTACTAATGTCAATGTTAAGAATTTTTATAGTCAATCCAAATATTTAGGATGAAGCTTGTGTGAATTGAGTTAAATATTACCAATTTTTATTTTTAGTCCAGTATGAAGAATGAACATAAATATTTTAATTCAATATATCCTATGGTTACTTGGCTCATGATTATTCTCTACTTTTCAAGCAGCATTTGAAATTACAACATGAAGCCAACATAGACTTGAACATGACACATTAGTCCAATGATCAAAATTTGATTTTCAACAAATCTATACACATACAAGCATGCCCAGTAGAATCAGTTTGGGAAACATGACAAAAATGCATTGCTTCTGGAAAAGGTTTAGGAGCAATCATTAAGCCCTTTTAGACATGCATACAAGGACAATAATCCTATCCTCGCATCAAGGCATTACATTAACATATTATCTTTAAATTGTTCCTCACCACTGACCTGACTTCTCTAACCACGGGTGCTGCTATTATCCTCTGGTGCTTTGCTCCTTGTGACAAACACATCTGCAATCACATAAGTTAAAAGATGTTAAAAAATACTTTTGCAAAAAATAACCGTTACTAGAAGCCCAACACACACAAGACTTACCACAACATCATAAGCTATGCAGCCATTGCTATTTTAGACATCTTCCTACTGAGAATTAGTCAGTCGCTGCTAGCTGCCGGCACTTGATTAATATCTCTAAACATTGATCTCTAAAATTCGGTTTTTCTTTTTCTTGCATCTGCTTTCCAATGTCTTCGGGCAGGTGTAACACTTCTTTCAATATTATTCTGCTCATGAGAATTCAATGTTGAATGAAATTCACTTTCTATTGGTGGCATTGCTTCAGCACCTGTGGGAAACAAGGTTGATTGACTTTCATTGGCTGAGGTCAAACCAGCAATAGCAGCACAGTTTGATATAACTTTTTGTTTCTTCGCTGCATGGGCGGCCATTCTTGAGTCTTTTTTCCAATCTCGTTGACAATGAATTCTCATCACATAATTGTCGGGAATCCCACTTACTTGCACCTCTACTTGCAGTGGAGTTGAGTTGTTTGTGGTATTTGCATTCTTCATATCAGCTTCAAGGCGCTTTCGAGCCCTGTATCTACGTTGTCGCTCTCGGTTCTTTAAGCGACGCGACATAATATCGTTATTGCTTTGCACATGTTCTCTTTGATCAAGAGGCTCCATCAGAAAACTATTTTCTTTTCCCAAAAGCATTCAAATTCTGCCCATTTTCCATTTCAAATATGGGTTGCGGCACCTGCATGAATAAGTTTCAACAAAGAAGGGCTGTAATGAACAATTCCAACTGAATTCTGTTTTCATGGACAAGGTCCTTCTTGTTGTATCACAAATGTTTTTTTTGCGAGTGTCCATATATAGCAAAGCCAATCAAGCAGTTTTCAGAGCACAGACAAAATTAATTAAGAAAGAAGAAAAATAAAAGTGCTTTATAGACACTAAGGTTGTGTTTGGTTGTGTTTTCAAACCATGATTGTACACCTTCATTCAAGTATGATGTTTGGAGCGAGTGCTGGAATCACGTTTCCAAAACTCTGCACAAAACACTCTGTCTCAGGCGCGGTTTTCGAATTTTTTTTTTCAAATTTGGCCTAACCGGCCACCGGTTGACCGGAACAGTGCAATTTTTATTTATTTTTATTTTTTTTGACATATGTTAATTTTTATATATTCGAAAAAAATATTTTCCGAATTTTTAATTTTTTTTGATGTGTTTTAATAAAATTTTGAGTTGTATGTTTAGTTATGAGTTGTAAGTTTTTGTATCAAATATCATATGTTACATCAAAAATCCCCCACTCAATTCAGAACTTTTTTCAAAACTCTTTACCAAACAAATTTTCCACACTCAAATTATAATTCTAAAACTCACAAACTCAAAATACAACTCATACTTTCAAATCATATTTACAAAACTCTATCAAACACAACCTAAATATTCTTCACTTTCTGGAAATCCCAGGGTACAATAGTAGGTTTAAAAATGAACGAAGATGCTTTCTCAAGTTTCTGAAAAGCGGTTGCAGTTGCCGTAACGGTGGCGGTGGCACAATTGCGGTTACGGGGTGTAAAGGCCGTAGTGTAACGGTTGCGGTAACCAGAACTGTGAATTTTTTTATTTTTCACATAATTTGAAAAAAACTTACCAATACACATTTTTTTTCCATGATTATATTTATTGGGTTTAAAATAAATATTGATCAATTTTTGTAAATTTTTAAGTATGATCCAATATATTTCATATTTTTAAATCACTATAAACTGAGGTTTTTACATTTTATTTTAATAATTAATGACTTTATATTATACAAAAAATCAATCACTAACTATTATATATAAGATAAAATACCAAAATAACCAACATATATATATGATTTGTTATTATTTTGGTGATCATGGAGTTTTTTATAGGATCCAATCAGATTTAGTCAGACCTAACATATTTTTAACCTTTCTTCTCATTTTTGTCCCCTTCAAAAAATTGTAATATATCTTCTAAAGATGTTTAAGATTAGAGTTACACTATGAATTATCTATTACTATTTTATTAAATTGAATACTACATGTGTGAGGTCAGTTATACCTGTTAAAATGTTTTAGGCTTTAAAATAAAATATCCTAAATAATTCTTACTTATTATTTGCTCACTCTAACTTAGAAAAATATATATGCTTATTGTCCAAATATCAATATCGTTGTTAACTACTGTTACTTTAGAAATTAATAGTTTCTATTTGGTTATTACCTTTATTAAGAATGGTTGATAAAAAAATCTAAAAAAAAAAAAGAGGTAAGATGGTGATTTTACATAGGAACCTTTGTTAACTTCTTACCTATTAAATTACGTGATTATCATTCAAAATAACATTTTTGTTGATTTAAGTCTAAATATTTTATATTTATAAGATACATTTAACATCTAAATGTGTAGATATATGTTTTTAAGTGATTTAGAAAAAGTGACCGAATCTTTACGATTCGCGATTCGGTACGAGACCATTTCGATTCACGATACGAATCCCGATTTGACAACTATGGTCACAACAACAAAGAAACATATACATTTGTGCATATTATTTCTTTAATTTTTACGTTATAGATACATTAAGTTTTTTATTATATCAAAATAGTAAGGTTTTTTTTTTTTTTTTTTTCCCACACTCAATTAACAAACAAATTGAATTTTTTAGGTTTTGTAGTTACTAAAAGATAAAAACCTAAAGGAGGAGGAATTCATAGGTATAAATTCAAATTGTTTTGATTTTAATCGTTGGATCCCAAGTAATTTTCTTCAAACTTGCAATGTGTTTTATTGTGTTTAAACAACAAACACGTGTTGATCGAGTTTCCAAATCGTTTCAAGTTCTAGAAGTATTAAAAAAAATTGTATGACAAGTTTGTATGTATATCCAACACGTATTGGGACACGTCTAAAAGGCTTTCATGTCCATGTCCACAGACACTGAGCCTAAGAAGCGTCCATGGATTTAGGGTGCTTTCTGTTGTGACGCGGGATGTGTTACAAAGAGGTGAAATGGAAGAGGGCCCTAGTTGGGGGGTTAACAACATAACATGGGCACAAGCAGAACCCTAGAACACGAGTGACAGAGTATGTGGTGTCTCAATGGATATCAGGCAGGGAGACTTCTCATATATTCCAGAACTTCTTCCAAGCCAATACCCCAAAAACCAATGAACTCAAGGCCACAAGGGCTTCAGTGCCGAGGAACAATAACTCTTGGAGGGCATTGGACTAAGCAGAACTGATGAGCTTACCTAGTGTAAACTGCAAAAGAGTAACACCCATCCTTGGCAACCACCTTCATTCTCCCTCAAGAAAACAGTCATTCTATGCACAATAGTACAGTTGCCAGTAAGGTCCTCATTATATGCCTTGTATAAACCACATAAATCCTCTTGAGAGCATGTAAGCTTAGACTATATTCATTAAAGAGAAACCTATTAAACGGAGAAGGTATAACTACATGAATCAATACATATCATTGATAAATGATAATAATATGATTATTACTATTGATTGATAGGGATTTACTATTTGTTAGACAATATAGCTAGCTAAAGTCATCAACACAAATCATTTATCATCGATTAATAGAATCCATAGACAAGACATGCCATACCATTTAAACATATTTTCATAAACAAGCAAATAATCAGGAGCTAATAAAAGTTCTATGATATACAGACAGTGAACATGAACCCTTAACAATAAGAAACTCATGCAAACATTGTTTTAGAAATAGCCAAATATGTAGCATATTCTAACCATCAATAAATAAAACAAAAGGCATCAAGTATTGTAAAGCATAGATTTCCACCTCAAGGTATAAAACCTAGTTTTAAGGTTTGCAGGACACAGACAAAAAACATGGAATCCGCTAATGCTATATATAGAAATGAAGAAAAAGTGCAAAACAATATGCTGTGAAATGCATAAAAACCATCATTCCAATTGTCTTGGATATATCATAAATAGAAGCAAGTGATTCATAAATTTCAGGTGGATAGTAAAATTCGAACAAGAGGAAGACGCAAACATGTTGATTGAATGATGAAGAAACATAACATCTTATCATTTAACACACAACAGAATATGGCCTCAAGTAAAGCATCATGACTAAAACAACATTCATGTAGCCAACCATAGCTTGGTGGATCTTGTGCCGTTGTTGAGTTCTAAAAAGCAATCAAATGGTTAAAAATAGAATAGCATTTTTTTCCCTTTCCTTCTTTTTTTTTATTTTATTATATAAATATATATATTATTTTTTATGGACACATACGTTTCTAATAGAGAATTTCATTGACAAATCAAAGAATCATTGAGAATGTTGAGGGCATTTTCTTGGGAAAAGTAACATTTGAAGGATTTTAATATAACGAATAACACAAAACAGCCGTCAAATTAATGCCAAAGAGACAAAATTTCAGAAGCCTCAAACCGATTCTACTCGTGTACGGCTTATATCCAAATAATAGTTCAAAAATTCAACCATAATAACCATATCATCAATCCACACCAGTATCACTATTGAACCCAAATCACTCCCCTGAAGTGAGATCACGGAATGAGTAACATGGGTTCAAAGGACAATACATCCATTCTATGTATTCTACTTTATAAGTGTACAACCCCATTTAGTTTGAATGCTGTCACACTTTATTTTCCAGATTAACTACCACCACATCAATAACTGTGGAATATCATCAAACTGTCCTAAACTACTAAACCACTTTCTTCATTCTATCAAATCACCCCTCAATCATCAAACCATCCAAGAATAAAAACTGTAAAATTTAGAAAGCACTGATCAAATGCAAGATCACATTAAATGGAAAATGGAAACTAAACCCATTTTGGGTATCAATCATCAACACTAGTTACAAATTACAATCCCATAATAAACACAACCCAAGTACTGAAATCAATCATGAAATAACACCTGTTAAATCCTAACCAAAAAAAAAAAAAAGGATAAATTTATGGTTTTGAGAATTGCAAACAGAATGTTAAACTAAACACAATGATGAACAAAGAGGGAAAAAAAAGAGACAGTACCTTCAGATTTTTTTTGTTTTTTTTACAGAAGAGAGAGAGAGAAGCAAACCCTAGAAATGGCGAATGTGTTGGGGTGTGTTTCACTTGTTCTGAGACCCCACAACGTTCGCGATCAATAGCTACCTCTGAGAGTGTAGATTTCATTGCCAACTTGCTATCTCTAATTACCACGTGTCCCAGTTTTTATCTCTTGGATTATATTGATTTAAATATTTTATCGATGTTTCATGAACACGTGTAGGGTGGTGCGCTGTTGGCTATCGGGCAGGTCTTCCAGCTTCTCTGAGTTTTCTTGAGGTCGAGAGTTCCAGCTTTTCTCATCCCATTTCTTTTTGAAAAAATTACTCAAAAATCTCATTTAAAAAAATGTTAATCCATTTAGTTTTATATATACATATTTTTAAATCAATTAGTTATTTTTATTTGTAATATATATTATTGATTTGATTTAATAATATTAAAATTTACTTGTTTGTCTTTGTTTAAGATTTGATTTTGATGTTTTTTTTTTGAAATTTGAGTGTATATGGGTAATGTATGGTTTAACATTTTTATTTTTTTTAGAGATTTCGTGGAGTGATTGCAAGGATTTTTGATATTACGTACTTGGTGTTAACCTAAAATGATTACATAAATTTTAATAGATAAAAAATAGTGGGCTTCATATCCACAAAGCGTATTAACCCACTAAAAAGTATAATACTTCAATATAATATTCAAACGTAACTGATGCAAATTGAATTTTAAAAAATAAGCATTTTTATTTTATTATTTTATTGCTTATGTTCACCATAGTAGTATAGATTCGAAATAGAGTAGCAGTTTAGGAAATTGCCTTATATTTTCTTCTATTTTTGGTCGTTGTTTTTCCTTTCCAAATCTAGTTGTTTCTTAGTTAGGTCTATAATTTGCTTATAAAAATTGGATGTAAGCCTTAGGGCTCTTCGGAGAGTTTTTGATGATTAATATATTTTGAGTTTTATTGCTCTTTGTTCCAACTTTGGTTAATTCTGTGTGAATCAACTTTGATTGAGCCTTTAAACTCGGTATTCTTGGGAATCAACGGGTCTAAAGAGGAGTCTTATTTCCGGTATTCTTGTGTGAATCAACGGATCTTAAGATTGTTACTATTGTTTCGATCAACACTGCATCAGTTGGTATCAGAGCTTGCTACGTTCTTGCTTCATGTCGAGGAATCGCAGTGATGCTCGAGAGGTTCCTGTGGATGAGGAGGTAATAGATGATGATTCTAACCTGCTGAGTTTTCATAGTGAAAGACGGAGGAGAGATCATGCATTGAAAAATTATAAAGATCATGTGAACCAAATCACTAAACAGGATGATCTGATTAAATGGCCTTTTACATCAAAATTTATTCCAGATCCGATTGTGGGTTGGAGTAAACCACCGATTTTTGATGTTGAACCATTCATTGATGGAACTAATAATATGTTGAATCATATGTTGTCTGTTGGACGCATAAATCAGAGTCATGGAAGGGTTGGTGTTAATTTTATTTTTGTGGAAGATCATATACTTGGTTTTCATGAGTTCAATGAGCATTCAAAATTGATTTCCAATATGGGGAATATTTTCTATGATCCGTTTGAAGAGAAATTTCATGAAGAGTTGACAACTTTGAGTTTGAACCGTTCAAATTTGGGTTTTGATGAAGATGTGTTAAATTTGTTAAAGAAATTTGTTCCTTTAATTTTCGAAGACTCTTCTTTGAAGTTTAGATTTGAAAAACTTAACCTCAAATACAAGGTTGATGCGAATAAGTGCAGACGGGCCAAGTTATTTCGAACAATAGAAACTCGAGGACGAGCTTTCTCAAGCGAGGAAGAATGATGCAGATTGAATTTTAGAAAATAAGTATTTTTATTTTATTATTTTATTACTTATGTCCACCATAGTAGTATAGATTCGGAACAGAGTAGCAGTTTAGGAAATTGCCTTATATTTTCTTCTATTTTTGGTCGTTGTTTTTCCATGAGTTTTATTGCTCTTTGTTCCAACTTTGGTTAATTCTATGTGAATCAACTTTGGTTGAGCCTTTAAATTCGGTATTCTGGGGAATCAACGGGTCTAAAGAGGAGTCTTATTTCCGGTATTCTTGTGTGAATCAACGGATCTTAAGATTGTTACTATTGTTTCGATCAGCACTGCATCAGTAACACTCCAATGCAACACTTAAAAAAAAATCTTAGTGCAATACCTTAATATAACACATAAAAAAATTCATTACTATAATTTTCTCAGTAGCACTCCAAAAGAACTCCTTAGCGTAATACTCTAATGTAACACACAAAAAAACTATCTAGCGTATTTTTCCTAAACGTAACAGTCTAATATAACACTCCAAAACCCTCCTTAATGTAACACTCTAATATAACACACAGAAAAAACTCCTTAGTGTATTTTTTTCCAAACGTAACACTCTAATACAACACTCCAAAAAACCTCCTTAGTGTAATACTCTAATGTAACACAAAAAAAAAAAAAAAACTCCTTAATGTACTTTTCCTAAATGTAACACTCTAATATAATATTCTAAAAAAACTCTTTAATGTAACATACAAAAACTCCTTAGTGTAACATTCTAATGTAACACACAAAAAAACTCCTGAGTGTACTTTTTTCAAACGTAACACTTCAATACAACACTCCAAAAAAATTTCTTAGTGTAGCATTTTAATATAACACGCACAAAAAAAAACTCATTGACATACTTTTTCCAAATGTAACACTTCAATGTAACATAAAAAAAATATATATATATCTTAGTGTACTTTTCCCAAACGTAACGCTCCAATGTAACACAAAAAATAAAAAAATATAAAAAAAATTTAATGTATTTTTCTTAAATGTAACACTCTACTATAACATTAAAAAATAAAGGATGTGAGATTTTTCAAATCATTCTAAAATGAGTACAAATGCTCCTTAGTAAGTTTTACTTATATAATTTCAAACTGTGAATGTTACGTTTGGAAAAAATATACTAAGAAGTTTTTTTTAGTGTTTTTGTGTGTTATATTGGAGTATACTACGTTGAAGCGTTATGTTTGAGATTACACTGATTGGAGGGTTACATTTGGGAAAGGTACACCCAGATTATTTTTTTTTTTATTTTTATTTTTTGATGTGTTACATTGGAGCGTTACGTTTGGGACAAGTACACCAAAGATTTTTTTTGAGTGTTACGTTATTACATTTCGGAAAAGTACATCAATGAGCTTTTTAGTGTGTTACATTGAAGTGTTACATTATTGGAGTGTTGCATTAGTGCTGGCACCATAAATCTGCAATTTTTATTATTATTTATTATTTATATAATTGCAGGACATGTGGCATCCTCCTACTCATTTGGAGGCTATGAGAAGTTATGAAATGTGAAAAGATGATGGAGAATAAAGTGGAGAACATGGAGCACGAATTGGAGGTTAAAGAAAGTTATGAAGACATTGAGGGATATGTGGCATTGTGGGAATAAAAATGGAAGAGTGGATAGTTTTAAGTGGTTATTGAGTAGTTATTACTGGAAGTTTTTTCCTACAAATATTTGCCTATAAATAGCCATTCATGGCTGCATTGTAAAGGATCCATAATTCATAATCAAAGACAATTGATTTTAATATTTCTTGTCATTTTCCTTATCTTAGGAGTAGTTTAATATAGATTTATATTTCGAAACATTTATTTTCAGCATTTCCTTTTCGAAGTATTTTATGCACCTCCTTTTTGAAGCATAGGAGTAGAGGTAAGTAATTATTATTTTGATTGTTCACTCAATCGTCTTTCTCCGTTTCCCTCATTCTTCTTTGAATTTTTCTTTTCTTTACACTTGGTAATTTTGAAGTCCTCTTCATTGAGGCAAAAGAACCATCAAAACAATCGCTTGATAATTGGCTTGAATTTAATCTGTAAGGATTTTTCAATCATTGCTGGCACACTCGCATTTATGATATTTTCCTTTGTAGGAAAAATAAGCCAATGATTTTTGGCACGCCCAGTGGGACCTCAAGTGTAAGAAATGAAAAATTAATTGGATTTGTCTATTTCAAATAGCCTAAATGAAATTTATTGGCGTAAACAAGAAATTTTGGATCTTCAAAAAGAGATCCATTTTTTTGATGAAATAAACTTTCATCCCTTACAATATTATTTGGTGGAAGAAAAAAGACAATTTAATTGGAGAAATTCATCAACTTGATATGGAAATTCGCCAATGGAACGATGAGTTATCAACTCTCACTACAAAGTCTTTAACTGAGGCTTTAATGGTCAGATTTGGTGAAATTTTTTAGATTTTTTCCATGGTTAAAAATAACAAATGCAAAGAGTTGATTTCATCAATGGCTTGGGGGGTTCGAGAGTCTGTTTTTAAAGAGCCAAATTATAAAATTAACATAACGAAAGAACATGTTCTTGAGCCAAATTTGGCTAAGAATGATGTTCCATGAATGGCTCGGGGGGTCTCAAAACCAATTTTTAGAGAGTCAAGTTATAAAAATAACATATCTATGGGTGATTTTCATAAGCCATTAATGGCTAACATGGAAAAACAACCCACTTTGTCAAATAATTATGAAAATCAATAAATAATTATGAAAATCAATTCGGCAAAAGTCATGTTTTTAAAACAAACATGGTCAAGAATAATGAACAAGCCATTATTCATGAATTCAAAATTTTTGACATTTTTCAAATTGTCAAAAAGTATGAATTTTCATGGTCACACTATACCATGACTTTTGTTGTTCGAAATCCGTTTTGGATTTGTAGATCACATCAAACGTTGACTTTGATGGAATGGCTAACAAATAATATTTTGTTATTGCAATATATTGAGCCAAAAATATTGTTATTAGTTTATCCATAAAACCATCCCCATTTGGTTTTGTGGTTACCTTCAAAGCATGTCTCAAGACACTTTAAAGCATATTATTCATTAAAATATCATTTTATAG